ATATTTATTTATGTCTCAGTTCACTTTAAAATCAGCACAAATAATGACCCCTAAACGAGTATCTAGGGCTACTGACACTGGAGAAATAAAGTGATTAGCCATGCGGCAAAGGTTTTGGTGTCCCAATGTGGCACCGTACACTTCCATTTCGCCCAAAATTTCTCCTTAGCTCATTTAACTAGCAATTTTACACTGCCACACTGGTCATTCGAGCAGCCACTACACAGGAGACAAAAATAGGAGGATAGTGGTGATGTAGAGGTGAAATTGCGTTACAGTAAAAAGAAGGCTCTCAGTTTGTATCGAGGTCATAAGTGCACATCTCTTGTACATTTACACGGGATGTTTTGCGTTGCGTATCCTCTCTGTTTGATGGACAGAGCTTTGGAGTAATGAAGGGTATTCTTGTGTGAGAGCTTGACCAAAGTCCACCAAAGTACAAAATATAGGGAATGTCCTGACCAGTGTGCCCTTCCAATTAAGGTATATATGCCGACGATTAAGCCTAATTTTCCTCTGAATGCGTGAAGGGGCAGGGCTTGTAGTTGATGGATTCGATAACTAGGCCGGTTGAACTTGTTTTGAAGGATCATCTACGGATGCTGAAACTTGAAATGGAGGGAATTCCTTTTGGCTCAAATCATTTTCTGACTGAAATATTTGCAGCAATATCCGAAAATTTTTGACACATTAAACTATATTATTACAGCAGGTTTATGTTCCACGCTCTTATTACCTATAGCAACAGCTGATATTTCGTCAATAATCAAACAAACTATTGCCTGACTACACCTTTTAATTTTGTATAAAGTTCCCAAATCGTTGCAGAAGGAGTTTAATTCAACTCTTTTACTTGAGCAATGTCACATCCAAGTTAGTTTATCAGCATTTTAGAGACTCAAGACTTCCTTTAATTCCTAACAAGATTATCCAGTTAGGACTGTCTCATTGCAACGGATTCGACATTTATGTATTCTGCTTTGACGTTTATTACCTTGGAATGTGTAGAGTGAGAAGATGAGAGCATCTTTTATCGGTAGAATTAAGAAATGGCTGCGGTGGTCAAGATTATTCCATGTCAAGTTGCAAGCCTTCCTTAAGGGGCAGTTAGCGTCTAATTCATCACGAGATTCGTATTCTCTCATCGTCTTTCGCCAACGAGGTGAATTAAAATGAACAGGTCCTGCATTAGCATACTAGGGTTATATCTCCATGATTGGAAAGGCTTGACACCTAGGCGTGTGCTAAACCCACAGACAGTGTCATACTCTCACGCCTCACCACATCTGAGGACACTTGAAACTCTGCACACCATTTCCACTGCCTATTCTTGCCCACCATAGAGACCGCCATAACTGGAACACCATGACACACGAATGCTGCACTACCTTTAACCAACTCGTCACCGAACGGACGAAGGACATTTGCCAACGTATCCCTAAGCCCCTACCACATCGCAGGCAAAGATGACGAGTACTCAGATAATCACCAACTGCTGACAAAACGAGCCTGCAGCGGCTCAACCCCAACTTGGGTCATTGTTTGGATATTCAAGTAGGTCAGACACTGAGCTCACCCAATCACTTTGGTCGATACACTTTGCGCCGCAAAGCAAGGAAGCATTATGTGTTGCATACCCTTCCACGCTGCAACAATCGCAACTGATGAAAAACTTCAACAACCCTAAATCGAGGCCCCTCTCCTAATGCCGCACACCTGCGTGAGCCTCTTTCCCATCCCCATCTGCTTCCAAATGGCTCCC